AAGATCCTTAACGAGCTCCAGCGGAACCTAAATGAGCTCTAAGAGAACCTTAACTAGCTCTATAAGATCCTTAACGAGCTCCAGCGGAACCTAAATGAGCTCCAGCGGAACCTTAACAAGCTCTAAGAGAACCCAGGAGAACTAGGGGTGGAGCCGAACCCAAATACGGTCTTCAGAAAGGCACAAATAACATGTTTTTTGCGAATACTTATTTTGAACAAATACTTAAAAATATTTGTATTTGGGAACGAGAAAAACTTTATATCAAAAAGCTGCGTTTCCTCATGAGAACGCAGGGCACGAGCGAGTGAGTAACGTGTAAAGAGGTGAGTGACACACAGTGTCCTCCAGTAGCTGAAAACTTTTACAGTCAGCATTTTACAGTCAGTGCTGCAGATAAAACCAAAGTTACAAGTAATGTGTGCAAAAGTCACATCAAAGGCAGAGATATCAAACATCTGTCAACATCTGTTATGCATAATCACATGCACTTAAAGCATCCTCTTCTGGTACTGTCTGCCAACCTCTCCACCAGCACCAAATCATCATCACAGCCACGTTCTGCCCCTGCAAGTCAGTTTCAATCACCTATATTAGCTGCATTTAATGCAAAACAGGCTTATCCACCCATCCACCCACTACAAATAACAAACACAGTGGGAGAAATCATTTGCCTTGACCTGATGCCCAACTCAGTAGTGGAGAATAAAGGTTTTTTGCAAGCTTTGCGAAGTGGTTGCATCTCCATACCAACTACCACCTCCATACCAACTACCAAGCTCGTTGGCATTCCAGAAAGAGCTTGGCCTTCCCAAGAACACATTGGTGCATGATGTGTCAACCAGGTGGAATTCCTCCTTTCACATGCTCCAGTGACTGTTGGAGCAGAGACGACCACTGACTACCATGAGTGCAGAGATGGATCTGGGAGGTACTGTGTGTGAGGATGTGGGTTCTCCGTCTCTGTCATCCCTTGTGCGCAGGCTCTCAAAACCTAAAGGTGGATGTGGATGTACCGAGGCACTTAAAATGGTGACCATATTGCAGTCTGAGTTGGCTCAGCGCTTCCAGCCTGTCTTTGATGACTCCTTGGGTCATTACTTTAAAGCCAACCTACTGGATCCCCTATTTAAGAGCTTGCCCATGTCATCCGAGTTTGACAGGCTCAAGGCAGATGTGGCTGCAGAGGTGGATGCAGAACTCCAAGCGGATGATGTTTCTGGGTAGGGCTGTGTGATATGACCAAAATCTCATATCCCGATATAAGACATCTATCGTCCGATAACGATATAAATCACAAACATTTAACGTTTTCTATTAATTCTGTGAATCTCGGGCAGCTCGACTTGCGTGAAGTGTTTCCAGCTGCGCTTCATGTAGCTGGAGTCAAGTGACCACTACATATAGCCACTACAGTGACCATCAAAACCATGAAAAAATATTGCCGTAAACAGTTTATTTTACGACAACACGGAACAAACGATAGTGTAATAGGAAACGATAGACGTTTTTATATCGCCATCCGATATATATCGTTATATCGGACAGCCCTATTTCTGGGGTACCTGAAGCACCCAGCTCATCCTCAGTTGAGAGTGAGACCAGTGGGCAAAAAAGCCAAATCTGCCTCATCTGGTGCGATGACCTCCTCAAGATAGCTGAGAGCTACTTAGCTGAGGACAGCACTGAATCACTGACCTCAGACCCTGCAGCCCTGGCTCATGTGGCAATGAAATATCACACCTGCCCCAACAAGCAGAGGTATCTTGTCCCCACAACGCTCCAGACTGCTGCCCTCATAAATGTGGACAAGCTTGTGATCACAAAATACTACATGGAGAAACTTAACTGAGAGTATGTTGGCAGAAGACATCTTCTTCAAAGTGAAATATGGTTGAGTTATGGTCAACATAAAACACAAAAAAACCTTTGTGTCTGTTTTTAGGCAGACAGTTGACAACAGCAGGGCTGCATCTTTTAGTTTAACAGTATTATATAGAATACAACTTTTGTTCTGCCACATCTCCCAGTCAGGGGTTGATAAAGTTTAGTTGTGTGCATTAGAAAGAAGTTCTCTCAGAAGAAGAACAGTTCGTTGAAGTATTATTTGTTTTTATTCTGTCTGTTCATAATGTTCACAATGATATTTTATTAATTGTTGGTTTAACCATGGATGAGGTAATGGCTGTTATTTTCTTTTCAATGACGTTTCTTGTTAAATGTTCATTGCTGGATTTATGGAAAAATACCAACCAATATTGCATATCCATATTTATTATAATGGATATAATTAAAGAATACTTACACTGTAACGTAAATCAGAAGCATAATGCAAGAAAAAAAAATTTCTTGCATTATTTTTACACCTATTTTGAATTTTACTCAAATACAAACACAAATACTTTTCCCCCCTTAACAGATACAAATACCGGCTGCTTTGCACAACTCCAAGGAGAACCTTAACACACCTGAAGTGTTTGAACATGTTCAGATGTGAAGTTTGAAGGATACTGGATGGTCTCATTACACACCCCGACCACCAGGAGCAGTCTGTCCCACATCAACACCACAGATGGCTGTTGGCTCTTTGGTCTGCGACACCTGGGCAAACAGGTAAACTCCAGGTTAAACGGGTGTAAAAGAAGAGCTTAGACAGGTGAGCAGCTGAATAAATAGGAGCACAGGTAAACGAGAGGTCACACATACCACAACATCTGCTTGGGCGCCATGGTCTTCTTGGTGTCGACTTCACTCAGTTTCTCCTGCATACAGAAGCATCACCTGTGAGTCATTCCACAGGTGATGATTCACAGATATCTGAAAAGCTGATTGGCCAGAACAGCTGCTCACCTGTAGGGTGGACAAGCCTGTCCACAGGTGTCCACTGTCAGTGAGGAGAGCCAGGTATTTATAGCTGAAAGACACAGACATGTGGACAATGCTGCCGTCCTGAGGACTGAGGCCTGGAGGACACTGAAGAGAGACACACAGGTAGGCAGTGAGACAGGTAAAAGAAAGACAAGGACAAATCTGATCACCTGCGTGAAGATTACTGGCTGTGGATTAGCATCGCCATCGAAGACTGTCAGACAAACGTCGTCTCAGACTGGTTTTGGTTAGAACGATCTTAAACTGAGCATTACTGACTTCACCTGTCTCTACATGTCTCACCACCACAGTGCAGGACGTGTTGTCCAGGATGAAGAGTTCTGGTCCGTTGGACAGCAGGACTTTAGTCTGTCTGTCCTGAGTGAGGACGACCCAGCAGGATGGCTTTCCCTGCAGACCTGAGGGACAGACAGGTGGACAGACAGGTAAGGGTGGAAAGGCTTAACCGTGGCAGTGAAAACACAATCTCAGGTGAGTCAGTTGTTACCTGGGACTTCAGGTAACCTCCGGAGCTTCAGGTCATCGATGTTGGTGGCCAAGGTGAAACGGGAGGAGCTTGTTACTATGGCAATACCTGTTCCATAAGGGGAGTGGAACACCTTGGCCTCCAACACCTGACTCTGGACCACTTCCTGTTTAAAGATAGAGGTCACCTGATCAGTGACATCGTTTGAGCAGCTTCATTTATTCAGAGGAACAAACTCAGGTGTGCTGACCTGTCCCATACTGAAGTGTCTCTTAAAGGATCCAAACAGGTCATAGATCAGGACCGTGCCGTCCTCCTGGATACACAGTAGCTCGTCAGAGACCGTCCACCCGAGCTGGACCACTGGACCACTTTTCCACTGAGACGGAGAGAGAGAGACGGGTCAGAGAGAGACCCAACCTGTCTCCAGGTGTGGTCAGGTGCTACTCACGGGGAAGCTGGCGACAGGGCCTCCTGACGCAGAGTAGATCTCCAGCTGAGGACGAGAACTCGGAGAACGCCGCTGAGGTTCTCTGAGCAGGGCTGAGGGGTCAGACAGAGGTCAGGGGTCAAAGTCTTAAATCTGACTATAAAAAACCATCTCACTGCAGTGTTTAAATAAAGTTTTATTTAGTTTGTACCGATGGGGCCGCCATATGGAGCTGCAGCCACCAGACTGTCTCTGAGTCCATCACGCAGACTCCAGCTCATCTCATACAGATCCGTCTTACTGCAGTAGTACACAGGAAAGTACACATTAATGTAAACAAACCCCTCCCCACAGTCCCCCGCAGGCTCCTCCCCCTATCTGCCTAATACTATTCCAGCCTCCGGTCACTTTCTGCTCACACAAACGTCACCTGCCGACCTGAGTAAACCCTGACTCTGATGGGCTACAACCTCCTGCTCACTTCGTCATGGACGTCAGTCCTCTCACGTGACGTGTGTGTTCAGGAAACGTCATTAAAGGGAAAAAGCTTCTGAAGCCAGCTTTAGCAGGGTCACATGACAGGCAGAGGCGCAGGTTACAGGCTGATTTCTCTGTTTAAACAGCTGAATCACACAGGTGTATATAACACGGATGGAGCTGCGGTCAGCTGACTGTCAGCTAACATTAGCCTCGCTGCTAGCAGCTGAAAGACCGACACAGTGGGCGCTCACTGACCGGTAAAAGGCGTCTCCCAGCGGGTTCCAGCTGGCTGTGATGAACGCCATGATCCGCTTCTCGGGGGAGGGGGGGGGGGGGGTACCCCGGGGAACAAACCGGAGGAAGTCCCGGTGCACCGACCGGCCAGACGTAGCGTTAGCTTTAGCCCTCGCTCTGCCCGGTCAGCTGACTGCAGCCTAGCTCTTCTTCTTCGGTAGTTATTCAAGCAGACGCCGCGGGCGCTCTGCTGCCCTCTACGGCACTTCTGTGTTTACAGCTGAGCCTGCAGTAGTGATGGGATTTTCCGGCTCTTTTTAGAGAACCGGCTCTTTCGGCTCGGCTCACTAAAAACAGCAGGCTCTTTCGGCTCCAAACCGACTCTTCAGGTTGTTTTGTTGCTTTAATTAATTTATTACTAACAACAATATACAATTATGCACAAAAGGAATTACTAATGTAAAAAGAAACTTGGTTATATTTATATAGGCTTATGTATAAAACAAACTCCAAAGCACGTACAAACTCCAAAACACATTTCTAGCGTTAAGTGAACTTCCAAAACAGAGCTACCTAGATCAATTACACAATTGAAAGCATATGTGTATGGTTTGTGTATTTATACACAAGCACTCATATATATTCAAATCATTTTAAAAAATGTTCATTTACCTGTTACTACCACACACCAAATCCGGTCGTTGGTACTTCCTGGCTTGTGTAGCCACTAGGTAACAAAAGCTCAACACTGCCCCTAGCATCCTGGAGCACTTCTGTTGTGTTTTGTACATGTTTTGGAGTTTGTACATGCTTCTGAGTTTTTATGTGTTTTGGAGGTTTTACGTGCTTCGGGGTTTGTACGTGCTTCTGAGTTTGTACGTGCTATGGAGTTTTTACGTGTTTTGGAGTTTTTACGTGTTTTGGAGTTTGTATGTGCTTCGCGGTTTGTACATGCTTCGGAATTTGTGCGTGCTATGGAGTTTTCACGTGTTTTGGAGTTTGTATGTGCTTCGCGGTTTGTACATGCTTCGGAGTTTGTGCGTGTTTTGGAGTTCGTACGTATTTTGGAGTTTGTACGTGCTTTGTCTCTAGGGGCCACCGTAAATATACTTTTATTTATTCACATAAAATGTAATAAATAAATCATATAATCAGTGTTGGTCAAGTTACTTGAAAAAAGTAATCAGTAACTAATTACTGATTACTTCCCCCAAAAAGTAATCCCGTTACTTTACTGATTACTTATTTTCAAAAGTAATTAATTACTTAGTTACTTAGTTACTTTTTAAAAACACGATTTACAACCTGAATA